TTACACCTCCCACCCCACCCCAAGTATTCAAATGCCTGAGACTATGGGAGACATTTATTATTCATTCAAACCACCATAACATGCAAGCCACAGAGAGGCAGGCAATGAAAAGGCCAGCAGAATGGGCATTCTAGTACATTTCCATGTATTTGTCTGAGGAGAGGAAGGACGAAGGCTTCGTTGGTATCTTCGGCAGTGATGTGCCATGTTCCATGAAATGTGCACTCCTCATTGATGAAAAGGAATCCTGCATGCAAGTAGATATTTTCATTCTGTCTGTTAACCTGTATATTTTGAAAAGGGGTGGGGGTGGGGAATCTCTTTTTAAGGCAGCATTCATTTTACACTTGAAAAGGGTTAATGAGACTCAAGGCATAAAAGAAATGAAAAATACTTCAGACAGAAAGAGAACAGCGAATGCCTCACTTGCTGCAAAGTCAGAGAACCACATTCCACTCAGCCCAGAGGAATTCAGGATTTGAAACCTCAGTCAGCCCAAAGGAACGTGGCTTCAGAATTACTCATCAAGGCCACCATTACTACTTGGTGATACAAAGCTCTGGGCTCAGCATTAATTTAGGGAAGAAATGAAAGTTCTCATTTTGACTAGGTCATCATCATGTACATAGTGATAAAAAGAAACTTGTTCGACTTAAAAACATTCAGAATGACCTTTTCATCTCCACATTGCTCTTTCTCTTATTTGCTTGTCTATTTGTTGAAATGGGCTGACCTCAAGCTTGTTATGTTACTAGGCTGACCTTGAGCTCCTGATAATCTTGCCTCTGCCTCTCAAGTGCTAGGATTACAGGTGTGGCATCCTGCTCAGCCTATTTTGTCCTTTGAGACAGAATCTTTCTATGTAGTCAGGCTGGCCCCGAACTTGGGCCCCATGTTCCCCAAGTGCTGGGCTTGTAGGCTTGTGCCTACCTCTCCTTCTCATTTAAGCCTCTTCTTAACAAAAGGCTGGAGGTTCTGGGAATAACTAAATTTATAGTAAGTGGGGCATTAGATGTATTTTTTAAAATTAATCTTATGTGTATGTGCTTTTTGCCTGCATGCATGTTTGTGTAGTATATGGATACAGTGCCCAAGGAAACCAGAACAGGGCATCAGATCCCCTGGAACTAGAGTTACAGACAATTGTGAACCACCATGTGGGTGATGGAATTGAACCTGGGTCCTCTGGAAGAATAGACAGTGCTCTTAACCACTGAGCCATCTCTCCAGCCCCATTAGATATTATTTTTGTCTAAAATACTTTTCCTTTATTCTACCTTGAGCCTCATTTATACTTTTTTTAAGTTTAAAATAGATGCAATCCCCTTTTAAAATGTTGCACACATTGTTTAACATTTAAAATAAAGTTAAAGGTGGTAAAGGATCATCTGATATACATCTCTATCCAACTAAAAATAATAAAACATCTTAAACGCTATTGAAACATCCATTCTGTTCACATGACCCTACCAGGTTAAAACTAGGTTGAGTTTGATGTTTATGTGTCTTTGTATTCTTTATACTTTACTTTTGTTTATCTTCCAAAGCGAAATAATAGTAATATGTTGCATAATTTAAGCTTTAAAGGGGTACCACACTAAAAGCTCTCACCAAGTATTTGTAAGCTTCAAATGTGTTTGTGCACCCTTGATTCCGTTATTTTTACTGCTGTACACAAACAACCTAAAAATACACTATTTTGACACCAGTCATTGCGTATTTCAAAATTATTTACTCTTGCGAAAGACTATTACCAATTTTCTTTCTTTTCTCTTCCTGGTTGAGAAAGGGTCTCTTTATGTAGCCCTGGTTGTCCTGGAACTTGCTCTGCAGACCAGGGTTGGCTTTGAACTTACAGAGATCCACCTGCCAGTATTAGAGACATGGACCATCATGCCCAATTTTCTTTTTTAATAAACCAACTTTCTGTTCAGTGCTAGGGACTTGACCCAGGGCCTCGTGTGTACTAGACAAGCAGTCCACCACTAGGCTGCATCCGAAGCCCAAAAACTTTCTCTCTTTCCTTTGCTTAACAATGCCTTGTTATGCAGCCCAGCTGTCTTCAAACTCTTAGACCCCCCCCACCAGTCTCCTGAGTGCTGGGGTTCCAGGCACAGGGCACAGCTGTGCATGTCTTACAGGCATGGGGTATTCCTGGCTTCTACCAACTTTCTTTTGTATGTCTCTTTGTGTGTGAGTTTAAGAGGTCACTCCCCTTGTAGGAGTCTTGGGACTCCTTCATGTATGGGCAAAGATAATTTTAGAAAAAAGTTATGTACCTCTTCAGTGTTTTTTTCAACAGCATCTAAAGTGCTTTCTGTTTCTAAAATGTTATTTTATTTTAAAGTATTAGTTTAAGCATATGAGATTTATAGGTTGAAATTGACAGTTTTCTATGGTTTGGATTCATATTGCAGTGACTGTCTTGTCCTACCACTGTAAATACTCAAATGTAAAGCTGAGAGGGATGAAGCTATTCATTCATGGCACGAAGGCACAGTTAGCAGCCACCTTCTGGTGTGCTGTTGGCACAGATGGTGTCTAGATATGGGCAATGTGGATTCCAAAAAGCTAGAAGAGTCTTAGGAGCTTTTCCCAGAAAGAAATGTTTGAGGAGGTAAATGTTTCACTGTGATGAAATATACACACAAGGAAACATCACATTGCATTCCAGGGGTGTTGCGATGGTTGGTCTCAATGTCAGTTTGCTGCAAATTAGAATCGCCTGTGTAGGGAGCCTCCCCTGAAGAACTGTCCCGACTGCCTTGACTGGACTGGAAGCCACAGTCCAAGTGTGTGGGCAGCACCTTCTGATAGAGGTCCAGGTGAAAAAGGGGCGTGGCAGGAGGAAGATCATTCACCTTTTGCTCAGTTGGCATTCCGTCTTGCCTCCAAGTGGTTTTTACTATGGAGGCTGCTGATTCCTTCACTGCTATCAGAACCAACGTGTCTAGGACTAAGGACTAGTGGCCGTCCAGGGAAACTTTCATGATTTCAGCACCAGATTGGGACTACTGTGGCACGCTGCCTGGTGAACCAAGAAACGGCCAGGTTGTCAACCACTTCAGTGTGGGACAGCCGCTGTGGGACTCCTCTTACTGCTGAGGTACCCAGCCTCAAGGACTGAGCATCCACCAGGTTCTCTGCCTCTCAGACATGAGACAACTGTTTTTCTAACATAGACCTATTTTATAAATTTTTTTATATTCTATATCCTATTGATTCAAACAGAGAATCCTGACTAATACAGTAGGCAGGTTTTTTTGTTTTTTTTTTTAAATGTTTTTATCCAACGGTTAAAAAAACTTAAAAGGGCCTACAAGATGGCTTAGCTTAACAACCTGGGTTCAATTCCCCAGGACCCATATGGTGAAAGGAGAGAGCTGGCTCCTGAACGCTGCCCTCTGACCTCCACATGTGCTTTATATGTGCACTTGAACACACATACAATTAAGAAAAGAAATAAAAGAAAAAGAAAAAAATTTAAATTAAAAAAAGTGAACATAAATTGGATATTTTACTTTTCAAAATGAATCCAAAGGACTCGAAAGAGCACAGCGATTTAATCCTTTTCTTATTGTTTTGCATTTCTAGCTTACTTAACTCATAAAAGTTCTGTTAATGGCTGGGAGGACATCTCAGAGCATGAGGCCTGGAATTTGAACCCTAGAACTCAAACAAACAAGAGCCCTATTAACGTTTTTATTAAAATCTTCTACTGTCACACCATTCATATCGTCTGTATACATAAACTGTGTGTATATAAACTGAATATTAGTGTCTTCAAACTTCTGTGACGGTAAAGACCTAAGTTTTGAACATTTTTCTTGCTTTGAGTTGCCACAGCATTAAGTATCACAAGCATGTCTTTGATCAAAGCCACACAGGTGTAGCAGCACATATTTGGACAAATAGTTGTTACATATCAAAAGAAAGCTTTGCTCGGGAAGGGAGCTCAGGCTGGGCTGGGGGCTTGGCATCTCTACCAGGTCCTGGGTGATGTTTCCTGTCACGAACTGGAAGCAGGACCAGCCGTATGTCACCTCGTGAACCTGCCCTTTGAGAAATATTTCCATGTAAATGAAAACGGTAGATGGTACCTTCTAAGTGGGTCTTCTTCACGTGAGGGAAGGGGCAAGCTTGCTTGCTAGGATCTCTTATATAAAGCTGCCAACCCTATCCAGAGGGGTACCATCCTCATGATCCAATCACCTCCTATGGCTCCACCTCCTAAGTTCATCACCTCAGGGGCTAGGATCTTAGTGTAGAAAGTTTGGAAATAATAGCCCCATAGTAGAGGGCTTGCCTAGCATTCATGAAGTACTGAGACCCATCTTCCGCACTTCAAACAAACAATAAATGAAATTCGGGAGAGAGTCATTCAGACCATTATATATGCCAAAAGTGTTTTGCTAAGATCTTTAAATCAGGGTGGAGGGAGTCGGTGAGATGATGGCTCAGTGGTTAAAGACACTTGCTGCCAGCCAGTGCAAGCCTGATGACTTGAGTTCAATCCCCACAACCAAAGTTAAGTTGGAAGGAAAGAACCGACTCCACGAAATTGTCCCCTGACCTCCACATATGTGGTGGTTTGAATAAGAATGACCCCCACATAGGTTCATATATTTGAATGCTTGGTCATTAGGGAGTGGTGCTACTTGAGGGGGACTAGGAGGTGTGGCTTTGCTGGATTAGATGTGACCTTAGAGGAAGTGTGTCACCAGGGGTGCTCTTTGGGGTTCCAAAAGCTCAAGCCATGCCCAATGTCTCTTTGTCTGCTACCTGCGGATCCAGATGTAGAACTCTCGGCTACTTCTCCAGAACCATGTCTGCCTGCATGTCACCACGCTTCCTGCCATGGTGATAATGGACTAAACCTTTGAAGCTGTAAGCCAGCCCTAATTAAATGGTCATGGTGTCTCTTCACAGCAATAGAACACTAAGACAACATGTGTGTTGTGACATATCCACACAGATAAACACACAGAAACACACAAAAATAAATTTAAAAAAGATCATTAAGTCAGAGACTGGGTGATAGTATAACAATGGCTTTCTGCCACACTGTGCTTCAAATACACTTTTGTCAAAACTTTGAAGCTAAAAAACAGTTCATTTTATGTGAAGCATTGGCTCTAAAACCTAATTGGCAAGTTAGTCTTAATTGCCAGCCTAGTTATCTGAATCAGGCTATCAAAAAAGTAGCGTAGTTTCATTTCCATTTTGGATAGGTGTGGATTTGCATCCCTGAGACAACTGTCTGAATCCAAACCACTCATGTGAGTTGGCCCCATTTCTGTACACATCACTCAGGAGAGAAGGATGTAGGCCTGTCTGAACTAGTATCTGTCACGGATGGTAGACGGCGCCGTTGGTTCACATTGGTTAATTCCTTTTCCTGTAGATGGTGTTTTCCGTAGTGTGTTGATTTGGAACTCGGCCAGGTGACTAGATGGGCTTAAGAGAAGATGAGGGATGAGAAGTGTGTATAGTGCCTGCCAGCAGCATAGGCTTTTAGAGGTCTGTGAGTTCCCACAAGCCCCTCTGCACCTGCCCTCTGTGTCCTTCCTTAGCCAAGGTAAACCCCAGCCATTGTCCAGGACAAGAAGAATCTGGTGCTGCTCAACATCCATCCCCAGAGGGGAGCAGACCCCACCTGACTTACATCAGCTCGAGTAACATTTTCTGTTGTCGGTCCAGCCTTGGGAAAAACTGACTGATACTCTCTTTGAATCCAATGTATGGGTTTCTAAGCAACCAGAGTTTGTTTACAAATAAGAGCATCCCCAAATTAAAGCCCAGAGGTAGTAAGATGGCCAGTCATTGTAGTAGCCCCTCCATGGAAGTACTCAAGCCGTCATGCCCAAATAGGCATACACTAGCACAAACAGAACATCCAAAGCCAAGGAGGCTCCGCTCACCAGCTACATCCCCAGATGTGTCTTTGCAGGCCACCGTCTCATCAATGTTAACATTTTCTTGGGCTCAGGTGTCAACACAAATTATAGACTGAGAGGATTCATCATGCAGAACCTTATTCATTCCTGAAGATATAGAAGCACTCTTTATTTGACCTTTTCATTTCAGTTTGACCTACAAAGAGTTAAAAAAAAGAATACACTGAATTCCATACACCTTTCTCCAGATCCCCCTTTACCAACAGCCCATTTGCCCATAGTGAAGAAGTGACCATGAATGAAGTTTCGGGAACAATTTGTCAAGAAATTCAATAAATACACTAACTTTACTATAGAAGATATTTTAGATTTTAAAAAGTTTGTCAGATTTTAGTAAGGCTATTTTTGGTCCCCCGTTAAGAGGAAATAGAAACTTAAAAAATAAAACAAAACCAGACATATGCAGCTTTATTTAAACATCATACAATGTATACATGCATAGGAACTTTACATGACACTCCAGAAGTATACATGATTTTTATGTTGTCAGGTATCAGTTATTAATTTAAAAGTAAAGCCAAAATTGACGTTGATAAAATACGACCAACTCAACAACTAAGGGTCATGCTTAGATTTGATGGTTTTTACACAGGCAGTCTGTGAGTGTGTGTGGTATTTTAGAATTTCATCACACATATAGATTTGGGTGTTGGTCACCACAATCAGGCCACAATACTGATTGGTCACCACAGAGCCACCCTCTAGTTGTCTTTCATAAAAAAGAAAAAAAAAAAACACCTAGTAATATTCTCCTCCAAACCTCACCCCTGGCAAACACTGGTCTGTTTTGCCTCTCTTTAATTTTGTCACTTGTGGCATATTCTATAAATGGAAGGACACCACATGTGACCCTTTGAGACTGGCCTTTTCACTCGGCCCAGTGCTCTTCAGTGTTGCTGCAGTCCACACACATGCACCCCTTTCATGGCTGGGAGTTCCCTGTGTGGATATGCCTGTTTATCCAACCACTCCAACCACTCCCCTGGCCAGGACCTGCGGGCTGCTTCCACTCTGGGACTGTCATAAATAAGCTGCCCGAAACACTCATACAGAGGTTTGTGTGGGAATGCAGGCTTGCATCTCTCGAGGATAAGTACCCCAGAGAAGAATGGCTGGGTTCATGGTAAATGTATGCTTAACCTCCTAAGAAACCCACCAAGTTGACTTTTGACTTTCAGCACACTGGTTATATTTTACGTTCCTGGCAGCAAGGTCTGAGAGAGCCAGAGATTGGCCAAATGTTCCCTTGACAGTGTAGAGACGATTGGCCAAATGTTCCCTTGACAGTGTAGAGACTTTAAAAACAACAACAACAACAACAACAACAACAACAACAACAACAAACTATTATGTATACAGTGTTCTGCCTGCCAGAAGAGGGCGCCAGATCTCATTACAAATGGTTGTGAGTCACCATGTGGTTGCTGGGAATTGAACTCAGGACCTCTGGAACAGCCAGTGCTCTTAACTGCCGAGCCATCTCTCCAGCCCCAAGTACAGAGACTTTTCAATTCCACGTAGTCTCATTTGTCAATAGTTGCTATTGTTTCCTGAGCTGTTGGAGTCCTTCTCAGAAAGTCTTTGCCTGTGCCTATATCCTAGAATGTCTACCCTGTGTTTTCCTCTGCTGAATTCTGCAGGGCTCCATGCAGGGCAGGCATGACTGGGGCTGTGGGAGAATGAAGAAAAGACAGCCACATGATGGACACACAGAAAAGCTGGCATTAGGTGGACTGGCTTCTCTGATGGTGGAGAAGACTCCGCACCCTGAAAGTTCAGTATGTTTATTATATGAATTTGAAGAGAGAGGAGGTGGGGTTATTGGGTATAGCTGGATGAGGTGGCAGGGCTATTACATACAGATAAACAAGGAGGCAGCATTTCTGAGTCAAGGAGACAGGTTTAGTGTCACAGCAGCGCAGCCGCAGGTATGTGGGTTCATGCGGGTCCACTGAATGAAGACTCAGAGGCACCTTGAGAATGAATCTAGACTTTCAAGGTGGCAGGGGAATCCAGCCTCTAGGGACTGAAGCTCTTTCCCTTCACCCAGGGCATTTTAATTTTTCCCCCCCATATTTACACTTTAGCCAGTTGATTTCCCTATGTTCAAAACAACCTGAAAGAAGCTCCTAAAAATACAATGCCAAGTGCAGATTTCATCAGGTACCATAGTTTTCTGGGTTTCTGAAGACGTTTTGCATAGGCTTTGTATCTTTGGGAAACTCTGAGACAGGATTCACATAGGATGACAAGAGAAACAAAGGGTGTCTGCTGAACAAAAGATGGATTAGGGCTAGGTGCTACTCTCTGGAGCCAGGGCAGGGGTACCCCATCAGGAATGTTGCCACAGTTTAGCTGATCTAGGTAGGAGCAGCATCTGGGGGAGCAGATTTCAGGTCATAAACAGCTAGGGGCAGAAAGCTATGGTGACCATTTTCTGCACACACTATCAACACCCACACTTGGATGGCCAAAGGAAGACTTTGCCATTTCTCTGAACCTCATCTCAGGGTGGTGTGTGGATGTTTTGCCACTTTCCCATGGGTCTAAGGCTATAGTCCTTTGATATGGCTGTCTCCTGTTGGCAGCACACATTCACTCAGGACTTCAGCCACTCAGGGCTTCCTCCACTCTAGCGCAGTGGTTCTCAACCTTCCTAAAAATACAACTCTTTACTACAGTTCCTCACGTTAATTTGTAAGGTTTCCCAAAGTAGGCTTCGATTGCCACGTGGAAACACTAGGCTTTCTTAGCTCTCTTAACACTCTCAATTTTCCTCTTGTAAAAATCAATGGGTATAGTTTAGAGGCAGTTTCGTCACTTGATGCTTCTGTTCAGCAGATGGTTTCTGAGCCAGCGATTTGGTTAGTGAGGTGGCAGACTGGCAGTGTTTGGTTTGCTTGTGTTTTAGAATCTTGTGGAGTTGAAAGCTTTTGCTGGATGTGTTTCTAGTCTGGAGATTGCCTTTGGAGAAGTTGCATCTGCTGCCTTACTGTGTCCAAGAGCATTTTTGTCCTTATTTTCTTCACCGTCCCTGTTTGTAAGAAATCCACCCTTAGGCTGGTGCATTTTCAAAAATTTAATGTTGATTTTGTTTTGACCATAGAGTAAAAACTACACATTGAAGCTGACACCAAACAGATGAAACACTTTATTCTAAAGCTCTTGTATAAATAGCAGACTTCTAATATCTTAGTTTTAAGATTAAAACTGGGCCTGGAGAGATGGCTCAGAGATTAAGAGCACCAACTGTTCTTCCAGAGGTCCTGAGTTCAATTCCCAGCAACCACATGGTGGCTCACAACCATCTGTAATGAGATTTGATGCCCTCTTCTGTATACATAATAAATAAATAAATCTTAAGAAAGAAAGAAAGAAAGAAAGAAAGAAAGAAAGAAAGAAAGAAAGAAAGAAAGAAAGAAAGAAAGAAAAGCCCTGCCTCATTAAAAAAAAAAAGATTGAAACTGTATGAGATTATTCGGGTGGGGATGAAAATTGTAATACTGTATAACCATTGTCAATTAAATATCCCTAAACAATTTTATGGGCATCATGAACATTATTTTTAGTTGACAATTTGTGAGTTCAATAAATGCATCTTAATTTTTGTTTGGATTCATATTTGAGGGATTTTTTTCTTTTTCTTCTCTCTCTTTTGTTTGTGGGTTTTTTTTATTTGTTTGTTTTTCGTTTTTTGAGACAGGGTTTCTCTGTGTAGCTTTAGAGCCTGTCCTGGAATTCACTCTGTAGACCAGGCTGGCCTCGAACTCAGAGATCTGCCTGCATCTGCCTCCTGAGTGCTGGAATTAAAGGTATGTGCCACATAGCCGGGCAGTGTAATACACAGTAAATACACACACACACATATAATTTAAATCTGAACTCTCTGTATGAGGGAACACTTGGTGGTGGTTTTGACTAGCTCGCCCTGATGTCCGGCAAATTCTTTGCCTTGAAGTCTCCACTCAAATGCCGCCTCCTCTGTGAAGCCTTAGGCACACTTGGAGGACCTTTTGCCCACAGACACCCACAGTGTGTCACATATAATTGAAAGAACAAATACTACTGATTGCTGATTGTAGGCCGCCTCACCTTGTTAAATACCCAGAACGTTTTACTCGTGGTCTCCAAACAACTATCGGCAACCAAAATTGGTCCGATTCTCTCTATTTGTGAGAAGATGAATCAGAACAGAAACCTCAACACTAAGACAACACAGGAACAGAATAAGGATTCAGGCATCTAGATGCAGAGCACAAATTATACCCTCTTTAAAGCACCTGAATTTTAACAGAATAGTTGACTTGCATCATATATCCTGGAGAGAAAGCTTTGAGTGCACAGCCAAAGCTCAATAAAGGGTGCTGAGTGGGCACACAGTGACAAATAAAACCAAGACTAAATAAAGACTCTCAGGAGCTGGAGAAATGGCTCAGTGATAAAGAGCAACACTTGTTGCTCTTGCAGAGGACCTGGGTTCAGTTCCCAGGACCCACATGGTGGTTCCCAACCATCCATAACCACCGCTCCAGGGGCTCTGACTCCCTCTTCTGACTCTGGGGTCATCAGGCACACAGATGGTACAGATGCACACATGCATGCAAAATACTCGTACACATAAAATCTTGGAATAAACAATCAAAACAAGAAACAAAGCAAGAAATCTAGTGTTAAGTGCTCTGAGGGGAAGAAGGTGGGGCCCATGGCCACGTAGAAAATGAAAGAGAGAGAGAGAGAGAGAGAGAGAGAGAGAGAGAGAGAGAGAGAGAGAGAGCCTGAAGAAGGCAGTTGCAGACTCGAGAGAACAGTGACAGGTCACAGGAATAGAGTCAAGATCTTGATACAAACATGTGCTGAGTTTTAGGGCTTTGGACACACACAGACTGAGAAAGGTGAATACAGTAGTTCTTTCCTGGTGGTGGTGGCAGGGTTGGGGGTGGAGAAGTGAGAGGAAAGGTTGGATCTTCTCATATAATGTGTAGTAATTGCATAAAACCTATTCTTTAGTTCATCTCTAGATTGTTTGCAACACCTAACACAATGTAAATGCTATGGTAATAGTTGGTGTCTGTATGGTTTAGAGTATACTGATGGTTTCCATCTTTAGAACAGAAGCAGTGGTCCTAGTCCTAAACACTCTAACCATGTCAGGAACAAAGTAGCATTTGGATCTGTCTTGAGAGCCAACTGTACAGGAATCTGGACTCAGCCATGTGTCCTGTAATGTCTAAGAAGCAGCCTGTGGTGCATGGGTCAGACTTCCCCAAAGAAGCTGAGAATGAGGGTCTGGAGAGATGGCTCAGTGGTTAAGAGCACTGACTGCTCTTCCAGAGGACCCTGGTTTGATTCCCAGCACCCACATGGCAGCTCACAATTGTCTAATTCCAGTTCCAAAGGACCCTACACCCATGGCAAAACCAATACACATAAAATTAAAAACAAAAAACAAAAAAAAAAACAAACTCAGAATGAGAGGCAAGCAGAAGAGCAAAGAGGAAGAAGTCACCGAGGTGCCAATGTCTTGGTGCCCCAAACAGGATTTAGCACAGCAGATTATAAGCATAGATCTATTGAGGGCAGGATGAATGAATGAATGAATGAATGAATGAATGAATGAATGAATGAATGAATGAATGAATGAACGAACGCCCTTCTCACAACTGGCAGGGTTATGTCCCTTGTTCTTTACCCCATCTCCCCATCTTCCTCTCTAAAATGGCCCTAGCGGTGTTCCTCGCATGGGCAGAAGCCGCTGGCGGTGCCTAGAGCTGAGACCACCGGCTGCGCACGCGCGTCCGCTGGAGGGCGAAAGTCGTTCGGACTGCGAGGACAGTGACCGCCTTCCTTAGCGGTTCCTGTAGAGCGCCCAGGTGCGAGAGGGCACGAGGAGGGAAATGGGTTCTATGTCTAGAGTAGGGCTAACGCAAGGGAGCCAGCGGATCCCGGAGGTGAGGGGACAGCGGTGGCCCAGGGACCAGCCACCGCCTCTAGGAGACACCCCTCCAGGATCGGGATGAGAAGGAGAGAGCTCTGGAGAGAGAAGCTTGAGAAACCTACAGGCCGGTGGAGCTTTTCATCTGGGACCCTTCGGAGCCCAGGAGAGAGCAGGTTCGGGTACAGGAAGGGTCCTCACGCTTAAGCTGGCAGAAATGACCTGCACACCCTATGTAGTGCCGGCGTCCAGAGCAGCGTCAAAGGTCTTGGCGAGCGATGAGGTGCCAGGGTCCAGTCCCTCCACAGAGGCCTGGTGCCAAACACTGGAGTCTGCAGACGCCTCTCTCCGCCGCGGGGTGGCAGAGTCCCGGGACAGATGCGCCCCCACAGACCCTGAGGGGTGGCTCCGCCCGGGGACCGCAGGGAGGCCCCGCCATAGGGGGCGGGGTTGTAGCCGCCCCCAATCCGGTGGGACCGCGCGGCCCCCTTTTAAGCTCGCGGAGCTTCCAGCAGCCTCTCAATCTTCTCTCCCGCCAGTCTGTCTCCCTTCCGCGCGATGGCCTCTGTGAAGACTTATGTGACCAAGTTGAAGTCCTTCGTGATTTTGTTCTTCTCCCCGATTCTGCTGCTTCCACTCATCATTCTGATACCTGACAAGGTCAGTTGCGTGTCTGGACAGCCCGGCGGAACTCGGGTGCCCAGTACAATAACGGGCACCGAACCCGAGAAAGCCGAGAATGGAACGCACGGATTCCCCCGCGGGGACAAGCTCCCCTGGGGTGTGTGCTCAGATGCTCGAGGCACCAGATGGGGGGTTTGCCCTGCAAAGACTCTGAGGGACGCAGAAACCCTAAGGTGAACACGTCCGAGAGCGCACCGATTGTAGGGCGCAATTATCTTTCGGGCAAACACGGAGACCTGGACGTTAGGACAGATCTGAACCAAACAGAGCCTGCCACAGGCTTAGCCTCTGACTCAGTATCTTCCCCGAGAATGCAAAACCAGCGCTGTCCCAGCTTAAAGATGCTGCCAGTAGGAACTCTGAGGGCTGGGCTTTCCTGCGGTGTCTCTAATTTAGAGAACAGATATTATCAGCTGTAGATGCCTTCAGTCAGGGACCCACAGGAAAAGAGCATCACCTGTGTGGATCCTGCCTCTGTCACATTATGGCTCTGATTTTTTGAGGCTCAGTTTCCCCATCCAGGATCTATATTTCTTTCCAGCTCAGAAACCAAGGGAGCCACTCTGAGTCCCAAATCCTGCTGCAGCCTGAAAGGCAGGTCGGGCTTGGTCTCCATTGCCCACTGCCTGCTGTGGCTGTGGCAGGAGGCGGAACACGTTCCCAGAGCTCACGCCTTGGGTGGCATGGCACTGGGTTGCAGGGAAGCGGCGTCCCATGCATGCCCTGGCCTCCTAATGCTCCTGGGAGGAAGGGAGAGAATGAATGGCCTTGGCTGCAGGGCAGAGGAGGGGCGGGAGCCCTGGCCCGACTCTCTTGGGCTGTGTGCAGCCAGTTTGGCGAGGCCAGAGCTCTTTGAAGCCTTTTGTGGGGGCTGGCTGCTCCTTCCTCCATTCCCTCTTCCAGCCCTTTCGCTC